TGGCAAGACAACCTCAAGTCATATTTTGCCTATAATTAGGCTTTCAGACTGGGAAAAAAGTGCAAGTTCAAAATAGTATAAATCAAAATAGTTAAAAGGTCATAATCTTTCTTTAAAACATTGTGTGTATGTTTTCAAATATTATTAATTTTAAAAAAATATTTACACTCCTTGATTCAATGCATCCTAGTTTTTTTATTAATTCTTGTTTTGTCTTGCCTCCTACTTCTTTGAAAAAGCCTCATTATACTTACATATCATATTACATTTTCCAGGTAGTATAAATGTTATATCTTCTCTAACTTAATGAGAGACACTTTTGTGCCTTTATCTTAATGATGTTCTTGTTGCAGCTGAAGTCATTGATGAATTCTTTTCACTGTCTGATAGTACTTTAATTGTTTTTAATAATTAGAATACTGTGGTTATAGAAGACTCTTGCCAACTCTTCACTCTGAGAAACAGTCCTTTGTTTCAGCAGTATTGTTTGCCCAAACAGATACCCCAGTTAAGTATGAGAAATGGCAAAATCAGGACCTTGGTTAGGTCATGTTTAATCTGATTTCACACCACTGCTTACTGTATAGACACAGCCCCAAACCCTTGGAGTGGAATGTACTGATTTCTATTTGGAAATCAGCGCACAGGGAAAGATCCTTAGCGCTGCAAAAAGCCACCCAAAAGTTAGCAAGCACCAGAATTAAGGTTAGTGGTCCTGGTGCAGTTTAATATCCTTTGGTGCAAATGTTGCGATCATGTGGAATGCTACAGGACTATGGCTCCTCCCACTGCCTGGGATAACCCCTGGGAATGAGACTGTTTTCCTTACCTGGAGCTCTTCTTTTCACCTTCCTCCAGACATGGCAGTTTACTATCACCCACCTACTTGTTCTCCAAGCTGTAGCAAGGTGTTTTGGCACTCAGTGTCTCCTCTCTCCTTACCCTACATGGATCTTCCTAATTACTGCTACCATCTTTTGCTCACCAGTTGCCACAGTGAGCACAGGAGACCTGAGAGGACTACTGGACACTCTTGTCAGAATAGTTGTGGCTTTTCTTGCCATCAGTGGGGGGCACTTCTTTCATTACCCCTAGTGTGGATTTGCTTTACCCATTGCCTCCTCTCCTGCAGGCTCAGCTCTTCCCTCTGTGCATTCAACCAAGTTTCCTTCACCCCACACCTGCACCCAGTGGTGGGTCACTGCAGGAGGGAGCTCATGGCTCTGCTGGTTGACTTTGACCTCCAAAGCTGCAAAGAGACTGAATGGAGCACGGGTTAGGTAAAGCCTGGAATGAAAAGGGGAGTAAAATCTGAGCTTCTGAAAACAAATTTTGCAGAGGCATAGCAGGTAACAACAATTGAACCAAATTTAGTACGCAGGAAAGAGCACGTTCCTGATAAGGAAGCAATTCTTCTACCAAATTTAGCACCAACTGTAAAAGAAGGTGACATTAGAGTTTTTCTAAGGGACAATGGTAAGATGTCATGTGTTGTTTTGGTTTTGCAAAAAAACCCCATTTTTTTCCTAACCTGATTTTCAAGGGTAGATGTTTGCCAAGAATGCATCTCCCTTACATAAAGACTCACAACTTGAGTCATACACACACCTTCAGGTTTTTGGCCAATGTGACTGAAGTTCAAGAAGTTAACAAGTAACTGAAAATAAGATTTTTCCACGGACAACTTCAGGTAACCCCAGAAGTCATGCTACAACCTAGGCAAAACAGAGTTTATTCACTTGTGCAACCAGTGAAACTTTCTCAAGTTGCCCATGTTTAGTTTCTAGTTGTTTAGTTTGGGGGAGGGAAGAGAAGGCATGTTGTATATGTTATGACAGAAATTGTCTTGAGGATTTGAGGGAGTCTTAAAGACGAATTCTTTTTCAAGTCTAATGATACTTAATGACTCTTGTTTAAGGTAGGTGGTAATTCCACCTAAAGAGGACCTTTACCGATGACTGTCTTTTTCACAGAGCTCATTTTAGCTCCTCTGATCATTGCTTTTAGTATTTCTTTGGCTGTGACACATGCACAGAAATCTAATTGTAGTTGTTGCTACCTTTCAGGCTTTGTGAACTCCCTTGTTCACTGCCATGAACAGTATGATCCAACAGATGTATGCCACTTCCCCCATTCTTTGGTAATTACTTACCAAGGGGTTCAGTTTCATGCCACAGGCTGTACTATGGCACAGCCTTTCCCATCCTTGCTAGCTCCGAGGATATATTCCAAGTTAGAAATGCAATGGCAGTACAGTTCCCACACACTTACATACAATTTTTGGGGATCATTTGGATTATCATGATCTGTGCAGCTGGCGGGGAAGCAGCATTAGTGTTAAATGATACCTATTAGCCAGGAATTATTCTTACTGAGAATAGAAAGCCTTCTGGTAATATCCCAGTTCAAAAGCAACTCTCTAATCTTGCCACCTCAGAAGCAAATTGCTACCATCGTCAGCAGGAGTCATATTCATATCTACTTTGCAGTTAAAGACTTTGGAGGAAATCTGGACAGTATACCAAGACTGGAATTTAGGTTCTTCTACCTGCTAATCAGACATACAATCTTCCTCCTGACATGCACTCCCTGAAAAATTTAGCACTGCTTAACTGGTTTTTGGTCATGAACAAGTTAATCCTGTGCATCCTGGACCACTGAGGTGGTATGCACTAGCCTGACCATCAGGGGAAAAGAACTCATTGAAATTCTTTCAGGGGGCTCCTGACAATGATGTGAGGGAAAGTATCAAATGATCTAATAGGAGTGGGTCTGTGTGGGGAGAGCACTGTGATGAGAGCCTGATATCACTGATAGGGTGGGGATAGAGCTCCAGTGCCATGGATAGAACAGCTGCACATTGGAGTGCAGAACCCTGTCTCTTGGTTTCAGCTAAGTCAGTCTGCACTTGGAAACTGCTCTGTGATGAGAACCAAGTAGGTGAGTTGGGATGATCAGGAGATTTCCTTCAAAATTGCACCTTGATCCAAACAGAAATGCTAAACCAGATGCTCCCATGGTAAGTAAGTGTTAGAAGTACACTGCCATCTTTAGATGGCCTCCCAAAGGAGGAGTGTAAAGAGCTGTACCCACGTTTGCCTCACTTCAAAGAAAGCTGATTTCATATGAAAAAAGTCAAAACAGTGTTTCCCAGCAATATTTTTAACAGCTTTTACTCTGGCTTAAAGTGGTAGTATATATGAACAGAAAACCTGTAAAGTCTTTCTTTTTACACTGGAACTAAAGTTATAGGCAACTTTGGCCTACTCCTTGATACCACTTCCAAACACAAGGTTATATGTAGCTAGATAAATTTTTTAGCAAGTTTTCAAATTCATCTATGTCTGGTTATTTCTCATGCATGCAAATTTGGCCCATCTCTCTTAATTCATTAGAAAAAATCACCTCAAAATAAAAAAAAAACCAAAACAATATGATTATGAGCACAATGTAATCCTCAAAATAACTTGAATTCCTCTGGTATTAATTGAAAAGGATTTTAAGAAGATTAAAAATATTTTCCATCAGTGATGAAGTATATTTAATCTTTTATTGAAAAGCTCATGTTCCTTAACAGCAGGTTAGAAGATTATCTAAGGACATAGAAAAGAAAGCCTAATGACTAATCTATGTAAGCTTATTTTCCTAAAATTTGCCACTGTGGGAATACTAACATGTATAAATTGAAACCACTGTTTATCTGTGTCTTTTCTGAGTGGGGTTCAATAAGCTGGTAGTTAAAATCTGTAGCCTATAGTAACTCCCACTGTATCCCACAGCAGGATCAGCAAAAGTGAAGCATTCTGCAAATACAAGGCCAGGAGAGTTTTCCTCCCAAATGCAGAGATTTACAGACAAATCCACAATAAAATGTGTTAGGTAAATGTAGAAGTCACCTGTTTACTTTGTGGTTTGGAAGAATCCTCTAATCCTAATGAGTTACCTTCTTTTCATCTAATCTTAGATGTGCAGTCAGACTTGGGAGCAAGATTTGGGGAGATTAAAGTGTATTAACCCTTCAGGCTATGCTGCTGTCAAAAGACAGCACAGCTTTTCCCATATATATTCTGCAAGTGTGATGTCCAGAGATGCCAAGAAATGGTTTTATGAGCACATATTATACACAGTGAGGCTGAGTGAGCCATACTGTGAACACAGCACTTCTCAACAGTCTGTGATTTTGGGGAGAATAGGAAAAACCTAAAGAAGAGTGATCTCTCTTGTTTAGTAAATTCCTAGGTCCGTAGTGTGGGCTAAAACTTACAATGGCTTATTTCCTATGAGCTACTACAAATAAAACAAATTGAATTTAAATTACCTATTGGTCCAAATACTTAAATGCCTTTGATTTGAATGGAAAGTAAAAGGTAAAAACATTTCAGAGCTCACAGATGCTCTGAGATAGTATTTTACAAAATGCAGAAAAAAGAGTGAATTGCAAATTGAGCAAAATAAAAAAGAAACAAAGCAAAAAAATCCCCTAATCACTCATGCAGACAAGATGGGTGATCTCATAAAGCTGGATTCTAACTGAAACATTAATATGGAGAAATCTCTTCATGTTACGTAAGAACAAGTCAAATTTAATGTTAACTATGGAAAGATTAGCTATCCTTTTGAAAAATCAATGCTTCGAGTTGTTTTTCCTATGTATCTAATAATCTTTTTTAAATAATCAAAATTTTCAGAGGAAGGGACCTTCTTTGTACAGTTATTTGAGATCTCCAGATAAAACAGTCTATTTCATTATACAAGTAGATTATTGTGAAGTGTTGCCCCTTAAAGTTTGCCAGGCTTGTATCTCTAAAATTGATTAATAAACAGAATCTGAGTATTTAAAAAATTACAACAAAGTCTGAGGTTGTAAAACACGCTACTTCCAACTCTGCAACTGGTTTTACAGTTGCAATTCTCCTTTTCACCATTAAGTTCCATACTCATGTCAATCAACTGAGATGGAAAATAACTCAAACCATAATGCACAGACTGAAACCAAGCGTAAACTCTTCTTCCTGTACTCAACTGCCTGCATCCCATTTCAGCTCTGTTTTGACTCATTAGGTATTTAATTCATGAAAGAGGAAGGAAAACACTGGAAAGACTGCAACTACAGAGGCTCTTCATTCCCAGGGGAAAGGTACATGGTAGGTTCATATGTATTCCATCACATACAGTTCTATACAGTATTACATGGGAAAGAACAAACAAACTGAAGTGAAGGTTGATTATTTTACTGCTATTTTCAGCCATTTGAATAGTGTTTCTAAGCAATAGCAGTTATGTTATACTCTTTTTTTCCATTTTACATGTAGAAGTTTTGAGTAGCAGAGAGCAGAACAAAAGCAACAGGAATGTGTAGGGATATATGCAAGTATTCCCCCATAAATGAGGGACCTGCTAAAACAGGAGTAGCTGTCCTATCTGAATCTCACAAACTGCAGGTACAGAGTAATTTACCACACGTACAAAAAAGAACCAAACAGCAAAACTGTAATGAGCAAGAATAAAATGGCTTGATTCTATATTTCTGTGTGCCATTCCACTTCAAATCACTGAAGTCAAAAGAGAGAAAAGCTTTTTGGGGCTACTGGATCTAAAACACAATAAAGAAAATTACATGAGTATTAAAAATTTCCCCAAGTATGTGCAATAGATTAGCAACATCATAACTACAGTAGATTTCTTTTTGTTTGTTTGTTTTGTTTTGTTTGAGCTGGTACCTAAACATACAATGACATTTGAAGAATCAAGTTCTAAAAGGTAAGATTAGAAGCCACATTGATTTTCTGAGATGGTGGTCAAATGAACAGGGAAAGGAAAAACCTGTTTACCTTATAAGAACACTTTAACATAACAGCAGCATGTAGATATTATTAAATTGCACTTATATCCATGTAACTTTACACTTCCAGAGCAGGAAAGCCTGTTATTTTATCTTTCTTGCAAGTATTTTTCCAACCTGTCTTTCACAATACATGTCAATTTTTTCTAGTTTTTTCTACTTATTTATTTCTGTCTGCAGAATTTTATATTCAGTTCAGTGAAACATGTAAAATATAATATTATGACAACTGCAAAAGAACATTAAAAGCCTAAAATTTATCAGACTCAGGATAAGCATTACATTTTTGTTCAACTAAATGAAACACAGAAGGGGGAAATGCAGAGGAAAAGCCAATCAAGGCTGTCACACTAAGTTAAAGTAAATGAGGAGTCTGATAAATTTCTCTTCACTCACCCCACTGGAGATCTATTAAGATTTCCATGTGACATGTATCTATGTATCTATGTGTTTTGTTGGAGGACTGTGCTTTTAGAAAACAGAAAGGAGTCAGATTTCTCAGTAGACCTATTTAGTATTTCCCATTAATAACCACATTATCAGATTTAACAAAGGATTGTACTATAATTCTCCCATTTGCTAGGGACATTTATTAAAGTGCTGATAAGCTTTACAATTTCACTCAGATGCTACTACATTTTCAAGTACCTTTCCAAATCTGACACTTTCAATGGTATCCTTCATGTTTTAATTGTGACAAGTTCCATCAGCAAGGGAACTTCTATGCAGCAGTTTCCAGTAAGCTTTACCCCCTTCGAGACAGGTAAGACAAAATGTACACAAATGCCTTTATAAATAAAGCTGAACTTCATAAATAAATCTGAACTCTGAAAAGAGACAGAAAACAAGCCAGTCTTACGTAGCAACTCTCTGCCAATAACCTATGCCACGCTGAAGTTTACTTTTGGAAAATAAGGTATTTTTAAACTAAGCTGTGAAACCTAATTATGTCTTCAAAATTGAAAGAAAGCACTAATTGCCCTGATACATTTTGAGCTAGAAATTATCCATAATAATGTTATTATTCTGCAAGGACGGACTGAATGAAGAAGTTTTTGTTGTGTGGTAGCAACCTACCACTCTGGAAGCGTGGTCTCGGATCATCGAAATCTCCTAGTCTCCTCTGGATTGCTGAGGGCTGGGAAAATGTGAAATAGGGAACAAATGAGCAACTCATGCAGGAGTAGCTCAGCTTGATATTCATAGGAAACTGTAACCCTCACTCACCCATGCCAGCATCCAACCCCCAGAGCCTCTCCGAGTCCAGCAGAGCCCTCAAGTCCCCTGCAGTGCTCCTGACAGACCCCTGTGCTACCCAGGACCTCCCAGGGGACCTTGTACTCCCTAAAGCTCCCATATACTCTCCCAGTGCCTCCAGTGCCTCTGAGGGCTCTCCCAACAATTTTTGAGCCCTGCAGTACTCTGAGTACCCACCCCGTGATGATTACAGGGGTTAAAGGAGTAGTGGATAGCAGCGTAGCCATTATGTGGAGGAAAGGGGGACAGAGACAAGAGGAGGGGAGCAAGAGTATTGTTAGGGCAAGTGGAAACAAAGCAGGAGGTAGAGACAAAGGGCAGATAGAATGGTGGGAATTGGGATGGGGTCACAGCTCATCTAGAAGGGAGATGTGCCCAACTAACCCAAGAAAAGGGAATGATGTGGGGAAAGGGCCTGTAAGATGGAAATGTCATACCAGAGAAATACACACACAGCTTTGAATAAACGGAAAACTTCACAGAAACAAGTAATTTTCCTTCTGCATTTTTCACATGGCACTGACCATAACATTTTTACTCAGTGGAACTCCTTAAATGACGATCATAATGTGCTTCTAAGCACTTTTAGATCTCTCGGGAGGTTTCCTCCAAGTCCTTGAATACATAAGAGCTCTTGGCTTTTTGATTGTTCTAGTTTAGGGTCAGAGTGTAAAGAATCCATTCACAAGCTCATGAGAAAATCACTGTATACATCTTCATAAGTTACAGGTTTTTATTTTTAATACAGTTGTATTCCATGCAGCAGGGACAGAAGTCAATTTTTTAGTAACATCCTAAGAGCTGTTTTTATGAAATTGAGAGCAGGAAGTAAGTAATCTTTCATCAGGTACACACTCTGACAAGGATATATTAGTGCTCATATTTCCATGAAAGGATCTTAGCATGCTGGTAGGACAACTAGCATTATTATCTACAGATAGAAGATAATAGAAGCAAAAAAGGTAGCATGTCTTTTCCAAGGTCAGTGAATCAATCAGTGAAATGTATTACTCATAACATCATCCTTGTCTTTTTGTGCCTGGAAAATTCTTTTCCTCCTTTCTCCTCCCAATCCATTTTCCCTCCCTATTTTTCTCTCTTGCTTTTTTCAGTTTATCTTTCCTCACTTAACCTCTGACTTTCTCCGATGCTAAAAAAAGGACAAAAAGCAAGAGCCTACAGGAACCAGCACAGCCAGACTCTTGTCTTTGTCCAGCACTGCCTTTTAATTTGTGGGAGAGAACAGCAGGAGAGATCATTTCATGCTGTGTATATTGCTGACATGCAGTGTCAGGAAAAACAGTCGCACTCCTGACTTCCTTTGAGAGTGGTTCCCTCACAGGATGCTGTTCCCTTAATGAAGCAGCCACGCAGTGCTAGGACAGCCCTGCAGCCTTTGTTGTGATATTCAAATCCTGTATGCATGGCATATATTTTTGCCAGCTGTACTAGTAGTCCTGTTACATGTGTTGAATTTTCAGGTTTTAAGTTATCAGAATAAAAAATAGCACAATCTTTCTCGTTTATTTGCCAAAGTCCTGGTTTTTTTCACAACTGTCTTATTTTAAACATAAATGTCCTAGATTTTGGGTTTTTTTAAGTAAAGGAGGAGGTATAATGTAGAAGATACAACAATTAAAACTATGTAAAATACACTTTCATGTCTCTGAATGTTTCTTTATTCTTTCAGCTGTTCTGACTTTAAATTCCCCAAACCAAGATATGAAGAACATGAAAGGCTTGGGCTATTCTGCCTTTCACATCATTAAAATATAGTGCTGTTCTTAGGATAAGCTTTGTTGCTGTCTGATAAATATTCATAAAAGTCAATGAATGCAATTCAGCAGAGTTCTGTAATCTCGCAAAATAACTATTTCTAAAAAAACCCCATCAGCTCTGCTAAAACTGCCTTTACTTTTATAGTTTTCTCAGCTAAAAAACCCCACACTACTAAGAGTTAAGCATTATATTGTTATATATTACAGGCACAGAATTATTAGAGACTCTTCTAGGGTTGTGGCTTTTTATTCTGTGTGATAACAATAATGTTGCAGAAGCTGGTAGATGTTGAAGCAACAGCAGAAAAGTAAGAAGCAGTGTAGGGTCCTGTAAGGACTGCAGGTCTGTGCCCTGCCTACACTGAGGGAGAGTTAAATAACGTGAGGGGATGTTTGGTTTAGGTTGGATGGGTATAACTTGCATAAAGCAAACTTAAGCAAGATACAAAGATTTGAATTCAACTAAAATGTATTTTATTGTAGACATTGTCAAAATAATATTCCTTGAAGTCTTTATTTTAAAGCACCCAATAAAAGTAAACCACAAGAGTAGCTAAGGATAAATTGGCCCTACAGTGATTCCTGATACTGTGTGTTGGGGTTGAGCTGCACTGACTTAGCCTGTGAATGTTTGATCTCTTTAAAAACAATTTTCCCACTGGGGTGGCATTCCAGCTCTCATTGTCATCAAATCAAGGATTTTTGTCGGGCTGTACCTTTGTACCTACATTGATTATGAGTTTGGCATTTGACTCACTCTTTGTTCCAGACCTGTTTAACAGCAGAGATATTTTCAGGGCAAACTGCATTTACAGACAGAATGAAATTATGGAACAGGGTTGTAGTGCTGTTCAGTGAGTGACCCCAGAAGTACATCTGACATGAGCATTACCATTGGTGCTTCTCCTCTAGTTCAGTAAGGGTTGAAAAAAGAATAATTTGAGTTGGAATATTTTGAGGAGTGGTCACAAAGGTGTTATTTTCCAGCCCTCTCTGCTAGCACTCGCCGAATTGCATCTGCAAGGTCATCTCAGGCCTGCTGTTGTACAGCTGTTCTCAGGGCACCCTGCCTGCTTGAGAGTCTCTTTGGGAACCTTGGGAAGACTCCTTGAGTTGAAAAAAGGGCTTTCGTTTCTTCATGTTGACAACTGTACAGTCTAACCTATGTTTTCACCTCCCATCAAATCATGGTGTGGTAAGCCAGACCCAGGGAACTGCCTCACCTGCTTTGTATTTCTCCCGCAGAGGCCAGGTGAAACGCATGACTCCATTTTCCTTCCCGTTTCACGCCCTAGTCGGGAGGGTAAAAACCCAGCTGGGAGTTAGCTCCTGTCTCCTCAGGTGCTGGGGACGGAGCTGGAGGTTCCTCGGCCGCCTCAGGGGTTTCCCAGCGCGGTCCCGGCCGCTCCCCGAGGGGGAAGGACACGCGCCCGGAGGCTGCGGGTGCCGCGGTACCCGCGGGGAACGGAGCGCGGGCTCGCGCCCGGCTGGTGCACCCGCACAGGCAGACGGGGCTCCGGGCGCTGCAGCGGCCCCGAGGCGGCACTGAGCCCCAAGCCCTGAGGCGGGGCGGGCGGGGAGCGGCAGCGCCAGCGGGGCCGGGAGGGGGCGAGGCCAGAGGCGCCCACGGTCGCCTCCTCGCAGGGATCCCGTGAGGGGGCGCGGGACCCCCGGGGAGAGGCCGCAGGTTCTCGAAAGAGCCGGTTTCCCGGGGCAAGGTGGGGCCAGTCCTCGGGGACCGGGACGCGGCGGGGCGCTGGGACGAGGAAGGGCTGCCCCGTCCGCCCGACCCCCGCGCTCAGCGCCGCGCCCGCCCGCAGCGCCGCCGCGGGGCTGTGTCTGCCCCGCCCGTTGCAGGCCCGGCCCTGCTGGCGCTCGCCGGCCGGGCGCGAGGCGGAGCTGAGGAGCGCGACGCGTGCCGCGAAGGTGCCGGGAACGTGCCGACGAGGCGGCTGCGAGGACCGATGGATCCCGAGGGCGCGGTGAGGAGCCCGGCGGGGCTGGGGAGCCGCCGGGGCGGGAATGGGAGCCGGGGCGGGAATGGGAGCGGGAGCGCGGCCGTCCCGCCGGGGTGCCACGGCTCGCGCCCGCCCGCGCGGCGCTGCCGCCGCTGCCGCCGCCGCCATTTTGTCCGCGGCTGCCTCAGAGTGTGGAGATCCCAGCGCCGGGCCCGGGTGTGCGGGATAATCGTGCCTGGGCTGCGGGGTCCGGCTCCCGGCCTTACAGCGCACCGGCTGTGGAAAATAGAGCTGACTAGGGAGTTAGGTGCGGTGAATCGCCAGGCCTTCGTAGGGTTTGGTTGGGGGACCGTGGGGTGTATTCACTGTAAAAATGCAACTAGCGCTTGTGCTGAAGAGTGGTTGTCAAGCACACTAGATAAAACATAAAAGTATTGTTGAATGTACACATCCGTATTATTTGGGCGAAGTGATGGAAGTTTATAAACCAGTGAAAACAAATGTTTGGGCAAGTGATGCTAGTACATATCTAACTTTTTTTTAATACTATTTTCTTATTGTCATACCAACAGTAAAGAGGTAGTTATCAGAATACAGATTTTAACTTTAAAAACTCGCTGGAATTTGCTGTGTTGGGAGTTCACAAGTGATGTGGTTAATTTCTCGTTTCTTCCATTTGGGTTTTTTGTGTTTGTTTTGTTGGGGTTTTTTTAATAAGACAGCCCTTAAAACTTGTATGGAGCAAATGCCGTCTGAGCTCCTTGAGGTAAGGAATACATTTTGGCTGTGATGTCAGCTGTTAATTGTTATAGTTAAATCCAGAAGCTTCCGTGCTGAACACAGTTGCCAGATAATTATACAATTAGAGAATTGTCTTTGGTGTGAGAGATGGAGAAAGTAACCTGTCTTGTCCTTCAAGAGTTCTTCCTCTGCAAAACACAGTCCTCTTCCTAAAGCCTTTGAGACTGTAGCAACTATGTTTGTTCCTTGCCCAGTGGTGTTGGCTGTTGTTCAGGTTGGGCCCTGCTCTAGGTTAGTATTCCCAGCGGGAGAAATGCACACTGGATTCTTGAGAATAGATCAGGTTAACGACTTCGGGTTTTCCTCTGCCCCAAATGTGTGTTTTAGTAAATTCGGAAAGGACTTTTGTCTTCCCTAAATTGTGTGACTTAAGCTGGATTTATTGTCTTTAAGGTATCCAAAACAATAGCATTAACGCGAACAGAAAGACAGATTTTTTTCCCTGACGTTCTTTTAATTACTGATCTTCCATTTCTTGCTACACTGCAACTGTCAGCCTTTACTTTTTGTGTGTTCTAAGGAGAAGTGATTTGGCTTTGTCCAGGAATGCTTAGAGGCACAGCCAAGAAAATGCTGTCTTGTCAACGGGGGAAAGGCAAAATGTGGAAGTAAAACAGTGTAAATGAAAGGGGGGGATCCTATGAAGAGAACTCTTTAAGAGCAGAACTTCATTTTCTGCTCTGGTTTCAGAGAGGCTAAAATGCACAGATACTCCAAGAAGCAAAAGAGCTCTATACTTGATGCAGTAGCTTTCTGTGTTTGAAATATACTTGCATGTGTTGGGTTGGACCTCGCTACAAGTTCTAAGGGTTGAGCAATAGTAAGAAAAATATATTTATCTCAGAAATCCTTTCAGAAGAAAGATTGGAGGCTGAGACCTCTAGATTCCTACTTTTAGTTTTCTGCTCTGCTTGTTATTAGCCTTGGTATCTGCAGCCTGCAGCAGCTGCCTGTGTTTCATTTTGGGCTGCTTCCCTAGTGGTGCTGGCAGGGCACTAGAGTCCAGGACTGGTTTTGGTAAGTTTGTCGGGGGGAGGGGGGACAGACTACCACAGCAATAATGGTCTTGAAGCCTTTATTGTAATTTCTGTTGGAGAAGTTAGTGACAATACTGTGTGACTGCTTTACAGCCATGACCTCACAGTTAGGGTTGACTTTGTAAGGCAGTATGCATTTGTTTTGAAAAGAGTTTCCAATAAAATTAGTTCCAGGGGTAAGTATGGTGGAAATTAAAACATCAGGAAGTTGGTGGGCCAAGAGAGTGTTGAATTAGAAGACTATAGTCTTCAAGAACTATTCTCATCAGTTGTACAGAACTTGTTGATTTCGTGTGGTGAAATTATGGGTGGTTGGCACTTGGAAAATCAGCCAGAAGCTGTTGCAAAGAACAGGGTCTTGCAGATGTGTGTGAGAGCACGAATTGTTAACCATGTCCATTCTATATAGGTTTAAAATAAGGACTTCTAAGAGGTATAAAATAATTTCTGAAATAGATTTATACATCAGGGTGCTGTGCAGATTGAACCAAGATTGGTGGATTAGGTTCTGAATGTCTAATTTGGAAAAGTGTTAAACATTGAACTTCAGACCATAGTCTCTAAGTTACTGAATTGCTTAAAATTAAGCTTATGTTTAAACACTGAGCTGCATTCTGAAGAAAAATGTGGTTTGTGTTCAGTTCAGCTTTTACTGCGCTTTGGAAGAAATTCTGTGTGGTCTGTAGAGAATTTCCATTTCCTGACAAATAACTTGTAAGATTTTCAAAATTGTTTTCTTTCACCCAGCAGGTGACAGATCAGATGCAAACAGAATCTTTACCTCCGTGTCCCAGCACGGTGTCACCGGTACGATTAAATAATCTGATCAGTTCTCCAAGGTTCGGAACAGTTACTCCAAATCGTGTCTTTGTGGGAGGAATTGATTTTAAGGTATTTTTTTCCTATTTTTGCTGCTGAATGATAATGTATAACCTTATAAAAATCAACAGGAAAGAGAGAGACAGTCATGTGCTTGCTTAGGTGGTAAGTGCCCTTCAATGTAGTGTCCAGATCAACAGTAGAGAATAAAGCTTTAAGCCTTGATTTACATATCTGTCCTACAAAGCTGACTTGGTACACTGAGCTGCTAGAAGCTTTTGACAAATCAGATCTTCAGAATTTTCTCTTTTCAAAGAAGATGGCTTTTGTCATCAGTAGAGCTTGTGGTAGAAAAGTATGTAGAAGTTTTTTATGTATAATACCTAGTGTAATTTAAATGTTACATGAGGCAAACAAAGCAAATGTCAGTAGCTTTAGTTCCTCTAGCACTTCTCTTCTGGTTCATACAAAGAAGCTGCAGTGCAACTATTCCTCACTTGCCACAGTAATTTTCTCAAAGACAAGTGTTTGGTTTTAAAACATATGAAAGTTTGTCTGGATAATTCGCAGTACTAATCTCAATTCTTAGAATGCTTGTGCCTTGGTGTATTCCCTAAAACCCTTGAGTAGCAGTGAATATTGAGCTGCTCTTACACTGGTTAGTCACTCTCAACGTTTCTGACAAGGTACTTGGCAGATCTTCATACCAGCTACTCCCATCTTTTTTGTCTTCTTCCTTCTTCCTACTTCAGGTAATTAAGCCACTGACTTTTGCAAGACATGCTTGGTCTGCTTAGCTGATGTTTTGTTCCTCCCAAGAGCATAGTCTCTTCCTTAATCCTCACTGAGGATCTTCTGAGTGCTGTCTCATTTGAAGAGGAATAAGAATTTACAATTCAGACTATTTTGCATAACAAGTGCAAGAAACTCCAGGATCTTCTAGCTCATTTGGCTGAGATAATTCAAACAGACATGTTTGTAATTTGAGATGTTGTACAAGGCCTTCAGGATATTTGAGCTTTATCAAAGAGGCACAGTAGCTTTTTGCACTAATAGCAAGCAAATGACTAGAGGTATAAAAAGACCTCACTCTGTTCTGTCTGCACTGCAATTTCAGAGGTTCAAACACTTTTCTGCCTAATGTACCAATATTTTTGGTAGTTATCCTCCTTTTTGTTCATTTTGAGGGGTTTCTTGACTTCTTGGTTCAGTTGCCGATACTTCAAAATTTATTATTTATCTTATTTTTAAGAATAGAGTTTAAGCATGCTTGTAAGCCAAAAGAAGATGGAATTTTGCTGGGGGGATGAAACCTCTATCAACATTTTAGCTACTCTACCATTTGCTATGGCTCTTTATATCAAACAGTCTTAAATTTCTTATCAAACCATAGGACTTTTGTGTCAGTGTTAACTTGTTTTCTGTTGGGAATCTCATGGCAAAAAGGATTGGGTTTCGTTGGGTTTTCTCACCCCATAAGTCTTACTCAGATCAGTTGAGGACATATAAAAGCTATTTATTTTATTTTTGTGAAAAAGGGAGACACTAAACAAAAACTTATTTGCTTTCCAGCAAGTTCTTTTATGATTTTGCCAGGCACCACCATTTGGTCTATCACTGTAGCAGTGATTCCTGTTTGTCAGAGGAAACATCTGACTGCAGAAATTTAGAGAAACAGTTCAGTAAGAGAAATTGGAGTTGGGAACATTTTCATCTTGTTTTGAAGAGCACTTTCTTTAGTGGTGTGGTCCACATGTCTTAGGCTAGTGCTAAGTCTTTGCCTCTGTCATTCTCAAGAATGTGACAAATATCTTTGTCTTAAAAACAGGAAAAGGCAAGTCCTGAGGTGTTTCTGGTAAGCTTCTCAATGTCATGTTTGTGCACATAATTGCAGATTTCACTGTGTATCTTAGAACAGTGTTTTCTTCTTATTCCCCTTCAGTCACTGCTCTGCATGTAAACCTTTGTCTTTCCAAGTTTATAGTCTTGTGTAGCAATCCCTGGTGTCTGTGGATGACACTTGGAGCACTGCTCAGTTTTAGTCTTGGATGAGGCAGATAAACCTTTGAGGTCCTGGAAGGGATCTAATAATACACATACAATTTAAACCAATGGAAGTAATTCACTTATACCAGAAGTAATGCTTTACTTCTACTTTAGGGGAAAGTATAAATGAATGATGCATGCATATAACTGTACTTCTTCCAGTGTTAGATATACTATTAAGTAAGGACTGTGTAAAAATGAAAATCTCAGATGTGGTGTTTAGGGCACCATGTGTGATACATATTTACAAGATGAGAAGATTCATAGAAGGCAGGTGAGTGATGGTGTAGTTTAGGTGTGCCTGTACATTGGAAACTTGTCTTGCTCCATATGTATTCAGAAGGGAGCAGTTTCTTCCAAGTTTTAGACCATTTGCCATTGAAACAACTTTTTTTTTTTCTGATTTAACTTACAGTGGTTAGTTCCTTTGGTGGGCCTGTACATATTTGCAGTTCTCAAGTTAGAACTGCTTCAGAAAGAGGGATCATGGTGTATTCAGTGGATTTGACCAGTAAATCACTGTGGGTTAGTGGGAATTTTTTTAAATAAATGTGACCTATGTATATTCTTTTGGAAATCTGTGTACTTTGCTGTTTTGAAGTTTGAAAATATGGTAGTGATTTTTAATACTGTAAACTGCTCTAGAATGTAATTCACAGAAGCTAAAATTCAGATCTAGTAAACCTGCTTCAGTGGTCTTAGCTGTGAAAGGGCACTTGTTACATAAATCTACTAAAGAGGAGTTTTAATTACTTTCTAGTGTTATTGATGAATAATTAATGCAGTAATTAAATGACCTGTGAGGCTCATACTTGTTCACTTTTCTCTCTTCCTATCCAGGGTTATAATTAGTTTATAGCAAACTTTATTCAAAGTATGTCCCTTAAAAATTCTCTGGTAAATATTCATTGAATAACCATGCAAACCAACTCTTCCTTTTTTTTTCCTCTCTTGAATTACTGTACTAGACTAATGAAAATGACCTGAAGACATTTTTTGCTCAGTATGGCAGTGTGAGAGAAGTGAAGATAATAAATGACAGAGCTGGAGTATCAAAGGGGTTGGTATAGTAGAATAAGCTTTTTGTGGAATTGAAAAATATAACAAATCTGACTCTAGTAAATTTGATTGGTTTTCATAGCTCAGAATATGAATTTTTTTCATTGATCTTACCAACTAATCTATCTTTGCAAAAATCTGTTCTTGCCCTTTAATATTTCCATGTAAATGTCTCTAATTGGCATAACTAAAACTATAGTTGTATTTGTAGAAGATGAAGCTGTGTGCAACTGGGACAAAATCAATAGTTTTCATTTTTCTAGTTTTTTTTTTAATAACAATTATTTAAGTAGGTAATCCTGAAAATGTTATTTAGTTATTAAATATATTTATTACTGAAAGGCAGTTGGGAAAAAAGCCTAAAAATGAAGCAAGAGGTGAGATACACCTCATTATGCTGGAGTGCATGGCAGTAGCTGAGGTTCTTTGTGAAGACTCTTGTAACAAGAGTGTAGGGGACAAATCTGACAGTGAATCATGATTACAGAAAAGGGGGACTAAGAGTGGAAAGCAAAAGTAAGAGAAATGCCCAAGAGCAGATCTGAAGAAGGATTAAGGTTGCCTAGGAAGACTATTGCTGGAACCCAAAGGATGGTGATGCAGATAAGGTGGGGAAGTGCTCTGCCACAGAAGGGTGGGAAGGGGGCTGAAGCAAAAGGGAATGTGTGTGAGAACCTGGTACCTGTGAGTTCTCTCCTGAGCCTCTCAGTGCTGTCAGAGCTGAACACCCATCAGCAGGTTACACACTGAGCTGCAGGTCTTAGCTCAGAGTGAGCACTTCCATGGCATGATGGACTTGGTCCTTGTCACTAAGCCTTTTGGTCTTTTATGCAATTCCAAGAAATATGAGACTTGCAGTATGTGTGTCCACATAACCCATAATAATTATGCAGTTTTGATTGCCAACGTATGTCTCACAGTGAATATGTTAGAAAATAATTACTTTACGTGGTGCAGGGATTTCTTTTGAAATGCAAACATGGGCTTCATTGCTTCTCCTTGAAAAGTGATTTTAAAAACTTGGGTGTATGTGATTGTTTTATTAGTTTATTGTCCAGGCAGTCCATAGAATGATAAATCTGCATAGGTAAGATCCCAAGTAGGAGAATAGTTTGTGTTCTTTGAACATGGAAATGTCTTGGTTTGTTTAGAGAAGGCAATACAAGAAAAGCCTACAAATTTAAAAGTGTGGCTAGTCAGACTTCCTGAACCTCTGTACTAAAAAGAAGCATGAAAATGCTCACAGAGAAGAACTTGTATTGCAAAATCTGATCTGCTGGCAGGAAAGACAGAGGCCACCTTGATATCATCTGTAATCTGACTGAGAGATGAACCATGACCCTGAAAAATTATGTGTACAAAAATACTAGAGGTTTTCAGAAATTTTGAAATTCAGATTAAGGGGTGAGGGGGGAGCATTTTTGTTTTTTACATACATATTATATATGATCAGATACTTACTTTGCACAGGCAATGTCACATTCAGTGGCCTAGATTACTCTGGGAATGAATTGAGGGGGTTTGGAAAAGCAAGAGTTGTGTGTAGAAAGCCTGTTTGATTTACTGCAGCAGCTAGAAGAGGTATGGTGAAAGACTGTGTCACAAAGAATGAGAATTGCTTCATCTGTGATCACCACAGAACTCTTTGTAATGCTAATCATGTTAAGAATTACAAGAATAATTCCCAGATAATGTTTATCTCTGCATTGCTGCCTTTTCTAAGAACTCAGTTTAAAATGATAAATAGTGTATGTGGAAGTGTGGAGCATTCACAGTTGTTTCTGAAGTAGGTTGGAGCTGTACTATAAATTACAGTATAATAATAATTTAAGATAAAAAAAAATCCCAAGTTTCTCATCTTGGTCACCCACAAGAATTCAAAGCTTTAGATCAAAATGTTTGTTTAATAGCAATGAAGGAACTTAAGACATAGGCTGAGTAACAAGGATAGCTTTCTGTGTGGGCTGCTTGTTCACAGTGATACATTACCACATGCTTAAATATAATAAGAAAGCTGTGAAGAATAAAGCTGTAACTGCAATCTTCTACTATTGTTTTTTTTTACCTGTTAAATTTGCCTGGTAATGTCACTTGTACTGTATATCGACAAGCAGTGTGCAGTGTTTGTAAATATGAACTCCAGAGGCTTAACATCTGTAATCTTTATTTAGGTATGGCTTCGTCACTTTTGAAACCCAGGAAGAGGCACAGAAGATTTTACAAGATGTAAGCAATAGTCCCCCTTGGGTTTCTCTTTTAAATAATTCATTTCACATTAGGCACGAGTAGCTCTGGTGGTGTGATCCTCTGTTTGCCAAGTTACATTTGAAGATCTGGTAGGTTTGGTCTCACAGTTAATAAAATGGTTTAAAGAGATCCAAGGTAAGATTTATACTGAGGTCTTCTGGAACTAGGGAAGGAAAGTGCTAGTTCATAGTACTGTTCTTGACTTTGACATCCAGTCTTTATGTTCTTGATCTGTTTGTGGTCTGCAGTAAGTACACAGTTATAAAAACTTCATCCTTCAGAATTGCTTTCATTTGCTTTACTAGAAAATCCACTCCTGTCAAGATTTTTTTGCAGGGAGTTGGAAAGATAACTATCTTTTATTTTGACATGTTTGTTTGTCAGACCTAATGTAATTCTTTTTAGTGACAATTAGGTTCACTTGAAGTCTTAAATAATGAAGCTCGTGTCATGTACCTCTTGCTTCTCCTCTGAGCTACATTACTGTGTTGACACTGCTTGCAGAGCCTCCCTTGAGACATGCTTAGCTCTTCAGCTGCATGTGAGCTCCTCAGTTCATTTTGGCTTTTTAAATGTGTGCTTCATGTTCTGGTTGGAGTGTATTGGAAAGATCTGTCACTCAGGTTTTACTCATTCATGTGAAAATCCAGGTGGAGGGGGGAAAAAAAGGCTCAGAGGAGATGGCATCTAAGATTCTCACAATTTATAAGGCTGATTAAAATGTTGAAATTCCAAACCTCTGGAAGCTTTTGTATTAAAATTCAAAATAAGAGCTGAGATGTTTTCAAAGGAATTTTCAGTGTGTTTTCAAGGAATAGTTATGTGGAGCCACAGACAGGAACTTCTTGAGTCAGCTGTTTTTCTTCCTCTCCTGTTTTATTGCTTTATTTCTGTAAACTAAACACTAATGGTACTGAGTACCATTGTGAAAATGGTTTAATGTATTTGCCTCTGTAACTGAAAGGCTGCTTCATGTGAAGTCTTACTGATGCCTGCTCTGTCCTTTAGTTGAAACATTCTGCAGTTCTGTCACCTCTTTCATCTTTACATATTTCTGCTATTTCACAGTCAACTTGTAGCATCTAGGTCTTTCTGCATCTTAAGCTGAGAGTTTCTAGACTTAACGTAGGAAATCAATGTTTTCCGTTTTGTACTCTTGAATTTATTTTTATATGATATTCTGATCATCCTTTGGACTGATTTTGAGGGGGGTTTTTGTATCCTACTTTTTTATTGTGAGTGATGTCTCCAGAAATTTCTTTTTCTATGTTGCAGTCTTCTAAATTACTGAATTTTGTTAGTATTGGGAACAGACCTTGAGGAGTTTCACCAGGTTACTCTTTCTAGTCATATCCTATTAATACTAGTGTTTCTTCTTTCTGTCTTTCTGATTATTTTTTTTTTAATTCATTACAGTTTCTCCTCCTAGTCTTCACTTTCTGTAGCATCATCTGTAATTTTGCATGCATTGCTGTGTTCTTGCTTTGGAGAAATCTATATAGATTAGATATTTCTCTCAACTGTGAAAGTTGTGCATAAAAAAAATATTTCTAACCTCTGGTAGATCACATCAGTGCTTTGGGAAGAATCATCTTTATGTTGTTTGTGTTGGAATGCAGTTTGACTGAAATGTACATCTGTTTTCTAGGAGTTGCTCTGTGTTTTAATAGGTTCTCTGTTTTAATAAGCATAGGTATGTTTGCCATAATTAATATTACTTTATGAAGTCCCAGATGGAACAAGATAGTTTAGCCTCTTCCTTGCTTTAAATCTAAAAGGTGGGAAGTTCTGAGGCAGTTGTGAGTGAATATGGGCATGTTACATTCAGTCCTTATCTGGTCACAGACTTTCTTGTTCCTGTCTCTTGTAAAATATTGTCATGATCACAAAAAAATTTAGTTTTTACATTTCAAATTGTCCATTTATGTACACATGTGCAGTAAATGCATGAGAGCTAAAATGGAAAATAATTACTCAAAAATATAAGTGCCAGTTGCAAATCAAGAGGCTCCATGAAGAGTAAGTAATGCTTGAAATGACTAATGATTATTTTTGTGTATGTGCAGTCTAAAGTTAGGATGGAAAAGGAACTAGTGTAGCTTGTGTGGGGTTTTTTTGCAATGCATTGTAAATAAAAAGCAAGGGAGGATGAAACCTAGTAAGTGCCTTGTCTCCTTGTGATTTTCATTTCTCAGATGCCTATATGTGTGCAGAAAATAATGTTTTTCTTTACTTCTAGGCTAAAAAACTCAATTATAAGGATAAGAAATTGAATATTGGTCCAGCAATACGAAAACAACAACTACGAAGTCCTAATACTCGTATGTATCTTTACTTGTATTTGTGTATTGTGTGTCACTATGAATATAAGTTTTAAACTCTACCTGGTCTGGCACAGCATTAATACAATGCATGGAATATGCTCAGAGTGGTTTGCAGTGGAAGTAAATGCATGCCAGTGGAAATGTCCAGTTAAATAGATTTATGGTCTTTTGGTTCTTTTATCTCTCTTAATATGTTGTTTGCTTACTTTATTGGAAAAGGTTACCTATCTAAGAACAGGGGAAATTCAGATTGCCTGGCAGAACCTTAAATCTAAACATCTAGACTGTCCTCACAGGTTCTGTGGGATAAATCAGGCTGTGCTGGTTAGTTGCACTGTTACTCACTGACTTATTTATGTTGTCAAAATCCATCAGGACAGTTCCATCTTGCTTTCTTTGTTAGAACCATAAGGAATGGGTGGTTGCAGTCACCATCCTGTTCTTGAGTTGTTTGCTGTAAGATACTGAATGGATACTGAAAATGTATCAATCACCGACTTGAAGACAAGATCTGTGAGTTGTTCCTCAGTAAGGGCTGTGTGTCAGATGTAAAATAGATTTCTTCTGTAAATGCAGCAGGCAATGAAGTCTACTTTGTAACTTTGCTTCGGTATTTGTTCTGTGGTACCTTTTGGAAGAGTTAGGAAAAAGCCCAACCTTTTGCTCATCTTCAGTCAGAGGACAGAGCAAAAGAATGTTGGTTCAATTCTGATGCTTTCTTTAGTTTCCATCACGTTACCTGTTAGAAGTAGTTCATGTGTACACTGATGCTGTTGGTGCAGATGTACCTGCTGAAGACAGGAAGTTTGCTGCTTCCGTCCTCCCCTTGTGCCTAGCTATGCCCTTTTCCCTTGTTAGTGTATGGGATATTGTTTCCCCAGGGGAAAGCAAATCCTTTGTTCCAACTGTATGGCTTCTTTGCTCTAGAAATTATTCAGTGTGATCTTTGCTCAGTCATCATCAAGAGGTTATATGCCTTCGTTGTTTTTTTTCCCCTTGTGCTTTATTTCCCTTTCCATCTTTGACTTGTACTTTCTCAGTTGTGTTGCCTGACTTGTGGTGCTTCCTTTGTGTGACCCTTGTGCTGAATGTGTATGTTGATAGAAGAGACATCTGTGTTTTAATTCAGAGACATGAGGGAACAGGGGTTAAAAAAAAGTCTTGAAGAAAGCTGCTGTGTCCTTTTGAGATCTGTGTTTGTGGACCTGTTTAACTACCTCTACCCTCTCATGCCTAGGATAGTTCTGTGATACAAGATCATACTGACATCCAGGATGTATCCTAGGGTTTGATTTCAGTGTGTCTGCTCTTATGCTCAACCTGTCTAACCTTAGTTGCTAGGGTACTTTGTCCTATTGCAGCTCATTTTGGGGTTCATGAAGCCAGAACACCTAGACTTGCAATATCACTGTAGAGCTGTGGTTCTGTTATATTGGGCAGAATTAAAGGGCTGGCCAATATATTGCTGTCCTCTACAGCCCACATATAATCTAGTGCCTGTCTTCCATACCATTAAGCAAAATGAGGGTTTTAGCTCCTCTCTTGTCATAGGACATGTTGTCATAGTGCTTTGAACATACTGGGAGGGCCACTTAGTTTGCTTTTCCCCAGCATCATAATGTGTTTTTCCATCACAGTGAGTTTGCTGGGATGGATGGAGATTTCCTTTTCCTTTGCCAGAGACTTGCTCAGCATAAGCAGAAAGTTTGTGCAATGTACTCTGTAGTTAGTGAAGGGGACAGGATTGTTGGCAGTGGGATCCTGTTGATCTCATTTGAGATGTCAGTAACTGCTATTCTGGATTGCTTGCTGGAGCTGGAACAGCCTTTATGTTTTCAAAGGTATACTTGGCATTATCCTAACAAACATCTTAGCCTGACTGTCTGTGGATGACATTTCAGCTGTATTGTATCCAAGTGTCTTCAGGCTTTTCTGGGTATTAAGCAAACTCTTCTGATCAATAAAAGCTCTTGAATCACTGTGGGCCTTCTTGGTCTTCCACTGAGCATAGTGGTGACCTCTGCAGTGTTCTTTCTGTCTGTAAAATGGTGCTTCGTGGTGGCACACCTTTGCAAGGCAAGATGGAAAACTAAAAATTGTTTGGTAATTTTCTTTATATTGTGTTCTTCCTGCTTTTTTTTTTCTGTGTCATGTTACTACTTTGTGATTTCAAGACTTTAATTTCAGTTACAGAATTAATTTTCCTCTTTTTTTTTTTTTCCCTACAGAAGTCTTGTCATATTTGAAACTGAAATTTATCTTCATGTTTGACACGGTTTTGGAAAAACAAAGTTCTGTCCTGGCCCCTCCTAAAATGTAGAGAGGAATAGAGTTGAGGTGATGTCAGAGACAGTGTTTGAAGGGGAGAGACAATCTGTACTTAGGGTAGAGATCCCTTTATTTGAATAGCACCTGCTGTCAGCACCTGTCAGAGGGTGGTGCAGATGGAACTTTTGACAGTCTTTGCTGAGAAACCAGACAGCACCTTGTGATAAAATAATTGTTGGGTTTAGTGCTTGAATTCTGTTTCAGCTAAATATGAGGATGTGGAGGTTACCTATCAAAGTCTCCTATAGTGTCAAACTACTTTTGGGCATTTGGAGATTAAAAATATATGTATTTGTAGGTACCTGGAGTTACCTGTGTTTGTTAATTTATATGCCTGTCATCTTTTGCAGCTCTTTCCATCTACCTCTGGAGACATCCTGTGACCATCTGCTTTCATGGTTTTGTGTTTGAGAGGGAATGGAGATGGCCCTAGGCACACTGCTCCATGTTCTTTCCTTGGAGTATTTTCTTTCTCTGAAAATCAGAAATGATCTTCCCTTATTTTTTTTCATGGTGTACACATCTAAAAAATAAATTGTTTAAGTTATTTGTAAATAAGCTTTCAAATATCTATTCCAGGTTCTGCTGTAACACCACAGGCTGGTACAATGTACACAACTACTGCTGTATCCCCAGAAGCTGGTACAATGTACTTAACTACTTCCAGTGGATATCCATATGTTTACCATAATGGAGTGGCTTATTTTCATACATCTGAAGTTTCTCCTGTTCAGCAACCATGGCCAGTAAGTAATTAATTTTGGGGTATGTGCTCTTTCTGTGGTCCAGGATGAGTGCAGTGTTTTGAGTCCCTCATACTTTGTTTCTTCAGCTGTGCCTCATGTTAGATGTGTAAATGGCTTCCTTATGTTAGACTGTTTATTTCATACTTTTTATATCACTTCAGTTTATTTTGCTTCTACAGGGGACTCTTGCTTTGGTCTGACCTGTTGGACAGGATAGTCTGTATCAGTCTGGGCCTTACCCCAGGAGAAGTTCTGTTTTACTCTCTCTAGATAGTGATGGGCTAGTGCTTTATGGAAAGAACTCAGTGAATGTGCCAGGGATTTTATTTCATCTAACACAGGCTCTTAGAAACAGTGATTTTGAGTAATCTTAAGTTAACTTAGTAAATGCATTTTCAAAAGGGAGGGGAGGTGGTTCAGCATTATAATGCTCTGCAGCTGTGCTTAACAGGAGTGACAGTTTATGAAATTGCTGCATTAAGACTTGTAACTTTTTTTATTTTTGAAGTCCCGCTCGGTTTCCAGTTCCCCTGTGATGGTGGCACCTCCAGTTTATCAGTCTCCTACGTATCATTATCAGGTATCTGTTTAAAAAGGGCTTTCAGACAAACACTGTTCCCCCAGCCATGCAGTGCTGTTTGCAGCACTGTCACAGCTGTTTGTTATTAGGAAGTAAAAAGTGATAGCAAACACATTTTAATTTCATTGGCTGCTTTCTTTAAACAACAGTTTATCCTCCTTATGTAATGCCATGATAATATAATATATTGGTTTTCTTTTGTGTTGCAAGACAACTGGCTTAGTACCAACCTCTTATCATCTAAGCCAAACTCCTGCTGGAGCAGGACTGGTCAGATCAGTTTTCTTGGGTACTTTTCCAGTTGGATTTTAAATAGCTCCAGTGATGGAGATTCCATGACCTTTCTGGATAGCCTCTTGCAATAATTGACCCCTCTCTCATAGTAAAAAAAGACTTTTTTCCTTATAACTACAACATTTTCAGTGTTCCCACTAGGGTCCATTGATTCTTGTGGTCTGAACACATCTGCTGAGAATCTTAAGTATTTTTGAAGCTTATGAAATGGCCAAGTCAGAGGCTGAGTGAATAAAAATATTCCTGAATATTTTTATGAATAAAAATTTATTAATGCAATGTTTTTATGAATAAAAAGGTTCCTGAACTTCTTGGAACTTTAATGAAAATTTTTCTCTTCTTTTTAGTTTATTAGAAATAATTATAGATTTGAGATGATCGTGGTTTAGTATGTTAGGAATTCTGGTATTCAACGTGTATGCATATGTTCTTAATCACATTTGGTAACATCTTTTTGTTTGATTTTAGGCACCAACACAATGTTTTTCAAGTCAGTGGCAATGGTCTGTTCTACAGGTAAATACAGTTCATAGTTTCAGCACTTTAGTTTTACATTTCACCTCGTTCAAAGATATGGTGCACTTACCTAACTGTGACACTTCCTACTATTCACAACTTAGTTGAAAGGAGTATTCATTGCTGTGTTTTAGCAGTGCATTTATAAGATTTGCTGATACAGCAGAAGACATAAAATAGCATCTATTGCAACATCAAATACAAATCTGATGTAAAGAAAACATCTTACCCTTGCCTCTCACTTTGGCAAAAAGTTTGTAATAAATTACCTAATAAGTTGTCAGAAGCAGGTGAAAACTGTCAAATTCTGTTGAGAAATGAGTATTAAGTAGCTAATTAACTGATACTGTGATGTTTCAAAGTATTGTTAGCAGAAGCATGTAGAAGCATAAGTAGGGTGAAGTGAGACCTAGACCCTTGAAACAGGAGGAAGAACTTGGAATTGGTGACTTGGTCATTTTGGGGGGGAGAGTGTATTGGTTTGGTGATCTCTGTAGTAGAGCAGCTTCCAAGGGGAATCTTGACACTCGAGGAACTTGAAGAGTTTGAAGCTGAAGGGAGTGAGTCCTTTAAGATTGAACTCATTATAGTGTGGCCTCATTACTTTAGGAGCAGCCAACCTTGTCCAGTTATGGACAGATTCCACTCTAATAGATCCATCTGCTGCTTTGAAATTGGATTGCTGAGTTATGGAAATACTGGGGGGGGTTGTTTTAAAACAAAAATACTTGTTTTGCTACTGTAACATTTTTGCAAGGGAAGATTTTAACTGTAGTATGTTGTTGTGATCTTGAGACTAAGTGTCAATTTTACAAGTTTTCTGATTTGTCTAACAATGCTCTCCAAAATGCAAATAAAATCTGAAAACTATGAAAAAATTACTAAAGAATTTTTTGGGTTTTTTTCCTTCCTCTTACCTGACCTTCCTACCCACTTCCCACTCACTTTTTCTTTTGTTATCAAAGATGAATCTGGCGCTTTCCTCTAAAGCTGTGTCTCCATTTATATGTAGCAAAGAAGATTGTAAAATAAGTTTTGGTCTCTACAGTGCTTAAATAACGTAATTTATTAAAATAATGTGCTTTATTTCAGTCTCCTACCTCTTCACCTCCACTCTTATATCTGCAACCATCTGAAGTCTTTTATCAACCAATAGGAATTACCCAGGAAGGTGGATGTATATCTCCACCTCTGCTAATGGAAGCTGCAGTTCCTGAGGTATTTTTAAAAAAAAAAAAAGTGCTGACAATTGAAGTGTTTGTCTGCAATTGAAAAACATAATGTTTTAAATTAAGCACTGGCTGTTCAGAGCACTTAGGTCAGTTGTTCCTGTATCCATGCTGCTGTTAAATAATTTCAGCTGTCCTCAACTTAAAGTTTCTCTTCCATTTTTCTCAGAGGATGCTTTGATTCTGAAATATTTTTGAGGGTCAGAAGTGTGTTACAGACAGCAGTATAAGGGCTAGTCAGTTTGTTTCATTTGTAAGTAATGTTTAAGTAAAATGGGAATCAGATTCTTTGGAATGCTGGGTTAGTATACCCAAACCATAGTGGTTTTCTGAAGTGATTCTTCTGTGCAGGTAGAAGCTTGTCTAAATATTGCAGTGATCCAAATGAATTACGAGTGGTTGAATGATTGAATTGTTTACAATTTTTTTGCTTCTATATCAGTAGCATTTATAGTACTAGTCAAGAGATTCCTGATGCACAATAAGGCAATCTCTTCATAGTTGTATATTAAAAATGACAGTAAAAGGCTACAGAAAAATTTAATTTTACATTTTTTTTATTCCATATTAATTGGTACTTCTCTTAAATATTCATTCCTTATGAATAGGGATTCCAAAACAGATGTTAAATTAGGACAATAATCAAATATTGTTTCAAAAGTTAACGTGTATTTTGTTGCTGAGAGAAGTTCCAAAATGGGTGTTTGAGATATCTTAAGTGGAAAATTCTGGCATACCAAAGTAATTTAATTTCCCTACAAAGACACAGAATTAGTACAAGACATGAATTGTTGGGGGTTTGTTTTTTAAAGTGCATAAATCTTGGTATTTTTTCTGTCATTATATTATTAACAGTACTCCTATTTTACCTTTAGTATTTCATGAATCAGATATAAACTTGTACAGAGAAATTTGAAATATGTGAGCACTAAGAAAATAGAATTAGTTAAGGAATACTTGGGTATAATGGGCTCTTGGTTTACAGGTAGGCAATTTGTTCATGTTAGAGGAAACTGTGTGGAATTTCAGAAGAATGGTGTAAAATTCCAAGAATAATCTGTATTATTTGTATGTAAATATCTTGTAAGTCTGGGAATTACTCTTCAGTGTGTGAATGGACACATTTGAACACTGTTCCAGTTAGAGCTGAGTGAAATGGATGTGTAGTAGAGAAGCTGCTACTTCTGTCAAGGAAAGTGATTTGTGACGCTGATCAAGATAAATGAAGTTTACCAAACTTTGGTACAGTGGGGAAAACACAGACTTAAATATTTAAATTGTGGGTTTTAAGAAGTCAGTAGTTCAGATAAACATGGCCCAAAATTTGACATTTCTAAGGATTCTAAATTCATGTGAAAGGCTTGCAAAAAAGTAAGTTTATGAAACAGGTTTTTCTAATTTTTTTTTTTGTAGCAGCTGTATTCCGATCATGGAGTTCAAACACTACATCACCAGCCCTATGCCCAGAGTCACATAGCCATGCCTGCAGCTGTGAGTATCAAACCAAGGGAGTTACAGCAAGCATTTTGCAGTATTACTGTCCCCTTTCTTGAAGGGGGGACAGTAAGAGAAGAGGGGTGTGGGTGAAAAAGTCTTTTATTAATGATAAGGAAAATGGGAAGCATTGCAGAGAAACTGAGATTTTTCTTCACCTGAAGCTTTGTTACAGGGGACATAAAAGTTACTTACTTTGGAACTATTTGGGGAAACTGAAAAATAAGAGCATGGCTAGTTATTTTAAGGTTGGGATACAAAGAAAATACAAATGAAAAACATATTTTGAGAGAAAATGGTGAACCTCATTCAGTTCTTGGAAATATTGGTTATGAATCTTTGTCTCTTGTCTCTGGGTCTCGACATTGAATTCCTTTCTTTGAGCCTTGTATTGAACCTCATGTTAAGGAAAGGGGGGAATTTGAAACCTGGAACATGAAAAGCTGTCCTAGGTGGTCGGTCACCTCTAGGTGTCTTTCTGTGCAGTTCTGATTTAGAAAGGCCATTTTAAAATATGGTTATTCCATGTCACCTGATGCAGGCTGTTGGGTGTTTTTAGCTCCCAGTTTAAGGTCCTTTTATCTAAATTAATAAGGCTGTTCACTCTAAAATAATGTCAAAACTGATTTGCCTGATAACAAAGATCTAAAGTTATCAGTAGTTGGTATTACAGCACTTACTCTTCTGTGAAAGATGCTTACTCAGCTGCAAGTGGCAGATTAAATAGGAGTGGAATAAAAGCCATGTTATAGGCTAACTTTTTAATGTATTTTTAATTTATTTTACTTTTTCTGGAAGAATTTTTTTCAGACTCTTGTGTAATGATATGTACTAAATATTTCCAGCAGAGGGGGCTGTAACATAAGTGTCATCTTGAAATAAACTGCACTATATTTCCTGCTCTTTTTTCCTGGTTTTCTCAGAAGTCTTGTTATCTAGAATTGAAACTCTGTTCAGGTCTCAAGTAGATTCACAGATACAGTTAACCCTTACAAAGATGTACTGAATTCTTTTTTTATTATTATTCATTACAAGATGATGCCAAATAATAGTTAGTAGTTCTAAAATACAGTTCTTCCTTTGAAAGTTTCAAGTTATCTTTTCACATCCCCACTTGGAGTTGGAATATATCTCACGTGTAATGAATGTGATCAGCATGTGTTGTCTGTCAGTGTGGCTGAGCTCTCAGCAATGATGGAAAAAAGCAAATGCTGTCAGCAAACTGCTCTGTATGAAGCAGGTGGCTGTGTCATTACTCCCCAGCTGTATAAGAACACTGCCTGGTAACTCTAGTCTTCTTAAAATACCCCAACAAATGTATCTGCTACTTGAAAACTGCCAAATAGTGGCCACAGAGGAGAAAGCAGGAGCCTAAAGGAGTGACTTCACCTTGAAGGTAATCTGCTGATTGCCTCTACTGCATTAGGAATTGCACTGGGAATAAATATGGACTTTATGCTGGGTAGGTCATATGGTGAGAGTAGGATGGGTACAGCCAATATCCAGGTATCTTTGGCAATTGTAGACTTCTTACAGCTTTCAAATGCAGCTCAAAACAGAGCATGCATTGCAGTCATAACTAAAAGAAATCACAAGAGTGAACAAGCAAAATGGATGAAATACCAATTGAACAAAACCACAGATTTTGAAGTCAGTGTTTCCAGTGCTGTACAAGTGTATAAGAAGAACTCGGTCCATTTGTCATGTAAACCATGTAGCTGTTAACAAAGGAAGCTTCAGTTCTGGCAATTCTTAGTTTTTCATTCTCTGTTTTACCCCTTGAGTTACATCAAAAAAAAAAAGGCTATTTTTTAATAAAAAATTTTTAGTAGTGCTAAAGGAAATTTAGAAGAAAATCTTAGATTCAAATTCTGTATTTAAGATCAATTTTGAATCAAAAATACTGCTCTCTTCCCTGTGATCATGTGTTTGCCAGTGACCATTTGTGTTTTACTTAAGCTGATTTCTTTTGGCAATTTTTAGCATGTTTTGTTCATGAGCATGTGGAAAGGACTTCATATATCCACATCTACACAAATGGATAAAGTTAATGTTCATTCTCAGAGGCTGCCAGGTGACACTTTTTTTAAGGAAGTGTGAGGTGTTTTCATCTCTGTTTGGATGTTTCAGATTCTATATCACCCTCCAATAAGGAGATTAATGTTTGGATGCTCCTAGAGGGATGTGTATGAGATGGTGTTTGGTAGTAAAACCTGTGTAGTCTACAGTAATAGGGGAAACTTGGGGGGAAAATTGAAATTTGTGGGTTTTTTATTTCAGACCTGGAAGAAATACCTGTGAGTTAAATTTTGTTTTTTCTGGGTGATTATCTTGTTCTGAGGCACTGGCCTGGTAAAGGTGTATGAGGGAGACCCTGAAGCCTGAGGGGCTGAGCAGCACAGTTGCAGTCTGCAAATAGTGAGCAGAGTATAAAAGGTTCTGCCCTGTGGAGGTGGGCAGGTGGGTGGGCTTTATTTTGTTTCATGCTGTTGTCTTTTTTCTTACTGTTCATCTCTTTGAGCTGCAGTGTGCCTGTTGGGGGGTAGGCATGGTTCTGGTCTGTCAGGGTTGCTGCTGTTCCCATGGTCTGTATCCAACAGAATGTTTTGGCTGACATCAGCAGTGCCAGATCATGCAGTGTCGTTTGTGTTGTAGTTTGTGTATATTTGAATTCAGTTGTTAATGGTGAATGATGGCCTTTGGCACCATGACCTTCTGGTAGTGAGCCTTCTGTGACTTTAACTGAACCTAGTGCACTCTGGTTTTCTCTGCAGTTAAGAGTAATAAGGTAAGACTTGTGTTCTCTGTGTGTATAATACACAGAAAAACGTGTGTTTATAAATGTTTGTGTATATACACATGCAGGTAGATAAACATGTTTTTTCTAAGAGTTTTGATGTAACCACTTGGGGGAAAAGTACAGTAATTTTATACTAATACTGCATGCTATTGTCTGATATTCAATCTCAAGCAATAAATAACACAACATATTTTCTCTATAGGTAAGTATTTTTTTTCATTTATACATGCAGTGAAACAGAATAAACCTCTTGTTTAAAGTTATGTTACTCTAAGAAATGTGAATATAAACTTCCAGTTGTCATCATTTGATTGCCAAGAGGCTTGTCACTGCCTGTAGCAAGGTCTGTTGCCTGTAAAACAGGCAAACTCCACCAAAACTGTATTTGCTAACTTGATATGAACATGGGAAGGTGCAGGTGGCATGCTCTTTCTCACATGGTTTAATTCTGTGTTCTCTTTACAAACTCCTTTTTCTATTCTAATAGTTTGTTCTCTCTTCAGTTTAGTGGGTTTGTTCTTTGGTTTTCTCTGATCTATGTTCTCTCTCTTTACTTGACAACCTATGGAGCATTCACTGTTGAAGCATGTGGGCAGCTCTAGTCTATCTATATTGATTTATTATTTTTTTTCTTGTCCAGTCCTTCCTGTGTGGCTGAGATCCATCATCAACATACCAGCTAGCAACTGCGAGTTGTGGAAAACTTGGGGTCAGTTGTTTCATTGCAATGGTTGCTATTTATGAGTTGGTGCATAATAAAACATGCTCAGATCTAGCACAGTCTGCAGCATTACTTAGCTGCTTCCTGAAGTTTGTCAGTTGCCTAATAATTTACTTCATAAAACAAATCCTGTATAATCAGTGTAATTCATTCCTGGGTAATAATGTAGAAATAAATCCCATCATTTTATTTTTAGGTTTATGAGTTTATGAGTTTAGATTGTTTTCCTTCAACGGGGAAGGAAACTTTCAATATTTCCAACATGATTTTTGGTTTCTGAACACTGTGTTAATTCCTGTATTGACAGCTCAATTTCTTCCCCTTTTCTCCCTATTTTATGCTGTTTACAATAACTCATGTTCATGGGGTTGAACTCATGTTCATGGGGTTGAACTCAT